ACATGAACCTCCTCCACCGTCTCCTTCAACTATGGGGAGCATATCCTGGGAAGTCTTTGCAGGACACATTCGTGCCCGATTCGGCGGGCATCATGTGGGATCAGGCCCGATGAAGCCCAAGTTTAGGTCGGATAAAGCGTGATTGAGCCGGGTTGTGCGAGATCAGGCTATATAAAAAACTGACGAGCCGAATTTGACATTCCAGGAGTTTCAACCGAGCCCGCTCGCCATTTTGCTCTTCGCGTGAGCCTGATACTTGCCACCATCCGATGAGGAGGGCCGAAAGGGGCGACTGGCTCAGGTCAGGTCAGGTCAGAGGGCAGTGCATCCTGTGGACGCGGAGGCAGAAGAGCACTTAACGAGTTATTGATGATGCGCCTAATTTGCCCCTGATGCAGTCAAAGCAGTCCGCCAAACTCGTTGCTCGTGGCTCAGAGAGGAATAGAAATGGCCTGGAATCGACCATGCTTTCTTACGTCGCCAATAAATCGGTGACGAGACCCCCCCCCGGGAACTCCCGCGCTCCTGGGGGCCTCCAAAACGCCGCCAAGGAGCCCCAAGAGACTCCCAAGAGGTCCCCAAGAGGCCCCCAAGAGGCCCTAAAGAGGGCTCCAGGGCCGGCGGCATGAGCGAAGCGATTAAATACATCGGTGACGAGACCCCCCCCGGGAACTCCCGCGCTCCTGGGCAGGTCGGGGCCCGCCGGCCTCGATCGGGGAGCAAGGGGCGATGGGGGGTCGACCTAAAGAGTGCTTCTCGTTCTCGTTTTGTGGCCCTCCTCCTCCTCCTCCTCCTCCTCCTCCTCCTCCTCCTCCTCCTCCTCTTCGTCCCCCTACTCCTGATCCTCGTCCTCCTCCTCCTCCTCCTCCTCCTCCTCCTCCTCCTCCTTCCAACTTGTGGTGGGGGTGGGCTGCCGGCCCCGATGGGGGGAGGAGGAGGTCGGGACGTCCCCCCCAGTGTTTCGTCTTCAGTCCGCCTTCGCTGCAGCACGAACCCGAAACGAAAGCGGCCCACGAGATCGCCAAAACACCGTCTAGGTCGACCCCTGCCACTGTCGGGTCGGGCGAAAGGAGGGGATAGCAAAGGGGGGTTTGAGAATCAGCTAACGTAGCTGATTTTCCCGGCGCCTCCCGGCGCCGGAGGCGTCTATGCATCGGGGAATGGGCCCCTCGGTGGGGCCGAAACCAGCTGCAGGCAGCAAATTTCGTAACCCCCCCTTTCCCAATCCCCCCCTTTCGTCCGGCCCGACAATGGGCCAGTCAGCCCCCGTCGGCGCCCCTGGTCTGTGGCCTCTCGCGCGCCCTGGACCGACGCGCGCCCTGCCGCACGCGCCAGGACTGGCGCCTCGCTCGCTCGCTCCCCCTCCTCCTCCTTCTCCTCCTCTTATTCTTATTCTTATTCTTATTATTAGCATTGTTATTCGTGTTCTTCATACTATGATTCGCCTTATTATTCTTATTCGTATTATTTTTCAATGATATTACTCTTCTGATGTTGCTTCTGCTTCTGCTTATTCGTATTATTATCATGAGTATTATTATTGGTATTGTTATCATTGTTATTATTATTATTAGTAGTATTATTATCCGTACTAGTATTATTAATACTACTACTATTATTATTATCACTATTATTAGTATTATTATTATTATTAGTATTACTACTACTATTATCATTATTATTATTTGTATGCTTCTCCTTCTTCTTCCTTCTCCTCCTCCTCCTCCTCCTCCTCCTTCCCTCCACCTCACCCTCCTCCTCCTCCTCCTCCTCTCCTCCTCCTCCTTCCCTCCTCCTCCTTCCCTCCACCTCACCCTCCTCCTCCTCCTCCTTCCCTCCTCCTCCTCCTCCTCACCCTCCTCCTCCCCCTCCGCTCCTGGAGAGACGAGCTCGGCCGGCTCCGCGAGAGAAGACGACAACCACGAGCGCCTGCTCGTGGTTGTCGCCTTCTCTCGCTCTCGCTCGGGCGCCCATTCGCCGTGCATCGTTCGACGTCGTGCGTACATTTCTGCTCGTGGGGAAGTCCAATCGCCTGTAGGAAAAACAAACATAAAACACACACACGTGTGTGTGTGTTTTCCCACGTGTGTGTTTTTTCGTGTGTGTGTGTGTGTGTGTGTGTGTTTTGTCCTCGATGGCCCTCGCCGGAAAAAAATGCACACGTCCGAGCGATGCCAAGTTCTTCCCATTTACATGGGGCGTTCCCCAGCGCGACGCGGCTCACCAGAGCCCCACGGGAGCCCACAAGAGCAGAGGAACAGGACAACACACTGCTGCATACGCACGCGTCTGTAATGGAAGCGCAAATCCTGGGAACAAGTCTGAAAGAAGGCGCAGCAAACTTGAAAACTGCAGATGCCGACGATGCCGATCGATGCTCGCAATTCATGCTCAAAGGATCTCGGACCAAGCCTGAACGCACCCACAGAGCTCCTCTTCCTCCACCAGCTACTCTTCATCCTCCTCAACCCCCTCTCCCAGCCTCCTCCTCCTCCTCCTCCTCCTCCTCCTCCTCCTGTCTATTCTCGTCATCCTCTTCGTTCTCATCACCCTCCCTGCTCGTCATGCTCGCCCTACTCGTCCATACCTTCATTGTCGTCCTCGACCTCGTCCTCTCTCACCCTCATCGTCTCGTCGTCGCTGGCGTCGTCGACCCTGGCAAGCGCACGCGCGCACTAGAAGCAACGTCTCATTCTTGAAATATGTATCCTCATCCTTCTCGTCCTCGCCGTCGTCCACGTCATCCTTCGTCATCCTTCCGAAACCATGTTATCCTCCTCCTCCTACTCCTCCTACTCCTTCTCCTCCTCCTCCTCCTCCTTCTCCTCCTCCTCCTCCTCCTCCTCCTCCTCCTCCTCCTCACCATCAGCATCAGCATCAGCATCAGCATCAGCATCAGCATCAGCATCAGCATCAGCATCATCATCATCATCATCATCATCATCATCATCATCATATCATCATCATCATCATCATCATCATCATCATCATCACATCATCGCAGCAGCAGCAGACAGCCGCAGCATCAGCATCAGATCAGCATCCTCATCATTCATCATTCTCATCATCATTCAATCACTCATCAATTCATCACCACCACCACCACCACCATCAAACCGTTCCTCCTCCTCTCCTCCCCTTTCCTCCCACTCTGCGCTCGCCCCAAAAGAGGGGGGGGGGGAGTGAAGGGAGGGAGGGAGGACGGAAGGACCAGGGAGCGGGCGACCCCCCCTCCGTTACATGCCCCTGCCTCTAATGCAGCGCACGGCAGCACAACGAGCTCTCTCCTTGCCCCCAAATTGTCCTCCCTCCTCCTCCTCCTCCTGCCTCCTCCTCTCTCCTCCTCCTCCTCCTCCTTTTTCATCTTCCCTCCTCCTCCTCCTCCTCCTCCTCCTCCTCCTCCTCCTCCTCCTCCTACCGCTGCTCTGCCTCAGACCAGGGGCATCCGCAGTGTGGCCCATCCGAGCGCGAAGCGCGGCAGCAGCCGCGAGGGGGCGGGCGGCTCAATACGAGGGGCAGCGGCGGCGGCCGACAATGGCGACACAGGCGAGCCAAGGGCCCGAGGAGGAGGAGGAGGAGGAGGAGGAGCAGGAGGAGGAGGAGGGAGGAGGAGGAGGGGGAGGAGGAGGAGCAGGAGGAGGAGGAGGAGCAGGAGGAGGAGGAGGAAGAGTCCACAGCGGGGCAGCTCGGTGAGCCCCCGGCTCGCTCAGGACCCGCTGAAGAACGCCGACGCCTGGCGCCCTCCGCCTCGGCCTGCCCGACCTTGATTTGGACGGCGAGCTCATTTCCTAGGGGCGGGCCCTGTCGCTGGTTCACGGTGCGGTTGGCTCGAGGCCGCACCATGGAGGCAACAAGGGCCTCGACGAAGGGCGCCCCCTGGGGGGGGTTCGGCTGGACCGTCGGACCTCCCTCCTCTCTCTCCCTCAATGGCGTGCGAAACTCTGTGGACTCCCCAAATGGGGACGGAAACAACGGGCACGATGCCCATCAGCACATGTTGTCCGAAACCGGCAGCGGCCACTCTTGGGCAGGGGGCCGTCTGCCTCAGATGGGCAACACCCGCGGCGACACCGACAGTTAGTCCTGTTCAAAATGAGCAGGAACTGCTGTCGTTCTGAGTGCCCATTGACGGGCAACGACAGGCGGGACTGACAGAGGGGGAGCCCACCGACCTGGAAACGGCGATGCTGTCAATCCGTCTGAGAAGGACGCACGAGAAGGATGCAAGGGCCTTGGAAGGCCCCCCCGCTCTTTGCGAGCGGGACGCGGCCAGCGAAAGCGGCCAAGGATTTGGCGAAGGGGAAACATGCAAAGACAACCATGGAAAACTGCTCATCCTTACTATGCGGGTTCACTGTAGCGAATCCGCACGCTCCCGGGCGGGGTGGGGCTTTCGGGCCCCTATCGGCGACCAGTGGGCAATTTGGAATCGAGGTATCCCCCCTGAGACTCTCCCCGGGTGGCCTCCCACCCATAATTCGGGCCTCCGGCGGCCCTTCGGGACCATCTCGGCACCCTCGGAACGCTCTCGGCGAGGCGCAGCTGCTGGAACGCGTCGCGAGGCTGGGCAATTAGCCGAGAGCCGACGAAAATGCCCGAAGACCTCGACGCTCAAAACCGTACCCCTCCCCCTCTCGTTGCCCCTGACCCATCCTTTCCGTACCCATGCTGGTCAATATCGATCCTATTCCTCCTCCTCCTCCTCCTCCGCCTCCTACTCCTACTCTTCCTCCTCCTCTCTCCTCCTCCTCCTCCTCCTCCTCCTCCTCCTCCTCCTCCTATCGAGCAAAGCCGCACGTTCCTGGGCGGGGTGGGGCTACCGGGCCCCTTCTCGGCGGTCCATGGGCGACCTGGGGTCGAGGCATCCCCCCTGTCCCACCGTTGGCCCCTTGACCCACCCGTCCTTCCCGTACCCGCGTCGATCGCACCGACCCTCCTCCTCCTCCTCCTCCCGAGCGACGGCCGCCGAGGGCCGGCCGCCGCCCGCGGCGCCCCGCGCGCGGGGCGGGCGCTTCTGCCCCGGGGGGGTTCTCCGCCGCCGCGCGCCGCGCGCGCGCGCGGCGGAGAGGGGGGGGCGGCGCCGGGCTGAGCGGCCCGTGGCGGCGAGCGGGAGGGCGCCCGAGGGAGCTGGGAGATGGGGGGGTGCGGCGGGAGGGAGGCGGGACGGAGGTGGGAAGGGGGCCGGAACAAGTGGGGAGGGAGGCGGGAGCGAGATGGGGGAAGGGGAGGTGGGAGGGAGATGCAGGGCGAAGGGGAGGAGCGCGGATCGGCAGCAGCGGGGAGGAGGGATAAGGCAACAAAGGCAGAACGCAACAAAGGAGGAACAGACGCAGCAGCGGTCCAGCCGGGAAGCGCAAAAAGACGAGGAGGAGGAGGAGGAGGAGGAGGAGGAGGAGGAGGAGGAGGAGGAGGAGGAGGTCAGAGCGACATGCCCTACAAAACAAAAGCCGGCAAGGACTGCAGCCTCTCATCATTCACATCAAGTTCCACCGACAGCGATCACCAGCTAGACGACACACCACAACCTACCCACAAGACGACCGAGCTACACGACCGAACGCTACGATCACGCCAGTCCAACAGCCAACAAGCACAATTGCACCAATACCGCACGAGAACAACACCACCAGAATGATACGAAGCCCGATACACCCACCCCCGCTAAGGCTTAAGATCCCAGTGATATGTCCACCACCCAAAGCAGCAGCAGCAGCAGCAGCAGCACAGCTCTGGCTCACCGATATACCAACAACAGAGCTAGCACCACAGACCTTTGCGACCCTCCAAATCTACTTTCGTCCAAACGCGCCACTTACCAACCTACAAGACGGACGCACGGGCTCAACACCGATACCCCAACACGCTGGACTCATAGAAACACTATACGTGGAAGACAACAACGAACAACGATTCCTGCAGCACTTGGACACTATTCGAAACCACCAGCCGCAATACCAACTGTATCTGGAAGAAGTAAGTACCACAACGGAACATACGCAATGCATAATCACATCATCGAGGCGAAGACACGGCAGCCTGGCAGCACCGACTGTGCCCAAGCCTACGTTCCCTACACCAGACCGCAAAAGCTCCACCAACACCACAACCAAGGTTCCCTACACATCAGACAGACGGATATTACTGGAGGTAGAACACTGACTCCAACGAAACCCTGAATTCTACCAGTACGAAGGCATCTAAGAGGATATATGTCTTACATACTGCGCACGTGCGGAGGACACTTGGGATTGTCTACGACCTCACATCTTCCACATCAACAACTTTCAGAATACCAGTTGCCGCGTGACGAGGACATCTGATTTGCAGACCCTCTCCGCATACAGTTGCTTGTACTCTGAAACGTTTCGGTTGACATGGCCATGCGGCCCGCTTGTCTAGTTCATTTAACATCGCCAGTGCCTGCCAAATGCGCTACACCAACTACACAAACCAATCAAGGCTTGCGCCAACCTATGTGTTACTACGGCTTCGTGCTTAAACCGGAAGCAATTCACAAACAACAAGAAAATCCTGGGCCCCTGGAGGTTTGGGATGAACCGTAACACCCTGGGTAGCAGCACAAGCATTGCAACCATACTGGCACTCTCGTTGTACGGTTCATTTTGCAGCGTGAGCCTCGATCCACTCTAGTCGGTCGGACCCCCTCGAGCTATCTGTCTGTTGGCTGCCTATGCCACTTTGGCCGATGGGAAGGGAAGCTAAGTCCCACTGTGGTCGCCCATCGGCAGGTTATTCATTACTCCACTCTACCTCAAGCCTGCAATACAGGCCATTCCACGCACCACAGGCCAGACTACAGGGCCAGCCTAACAACTCGCTCAGATACAATCGCCTGCTCTGTCACTGTTATTTCTTGTTGGCGGCTCACCTAGCCTCGGCTACGTTCGTTTCTACGTGGGGGTTTGGTGGTAGGTCGTATTCGGAGGATGGGATTGGAGGTACCTTGGAAAAGAAGTACCCAGCCTGTTCCTGGCCCCCCCTGAATAGGGTGAGGCCACATGCCTCCAGCAAACTCAACCCGCAATCGATGTGCCACTGTCCTACCTCTTCTATGGAGCCACACATAGTATGTCTACTACTGTGGCTCCTCTCTACCTACCTTTTTACATTGCAGCCTCAGCTTATGCCAGACGTTTGGCAGGACCCATCAAATTATCTATTAGCCTCTAAGCATTGTCCTTTTCTCTACTGCGTTTGCTGATCGTTGCCCGTTTGGCACGTTGGGAAGGGAATGCACTCCATCGTGGTCTCTCGACCGCAGCGTATCCTACACTCCACTCGAACTTGCTTTCTCCATACATGCCATTCTACCTTGCACCACAGGCCAGCCTGTAAATACCAGCCTGCGCATCGCTTCAGCTCGACAGTCGCGTGCTCTGGTTCGGCTGCCTGCGACTCTACTTGGGGGACGGGCGGGGTTACGTGGCGGGTCGGGTATTGGTCGGGTGGATACTTAAAGCAGTTGCAACTCTGACGTTTCCATCTTATTATTTCGCGCAGCTGGACTCCACGTACTAACAGGCAAGTCTACAGGAGTCAGCCTGAGCGTGCCAGCCTAAGCATGGTTGCGCCCCACTTGCCTCTGACGTCGCCTGTGCTGCTATGTGTTCGTTGCTATTCGCTGCCTAGGTTTAGGCAGACGACGCCACCTATTTAGGGGTCTTGGAGATGGGTATTTTGCAGATGGAGTTTGAAGGGGGTTGGGAGGCCCAACCAGCAGCTTCGCCTAAAGCGAAGCCCATATTCAACTCTGTTGTACCGTAGTAGCGATAGTCCCAGAAGTAGGAGGTCGTCGCGGGAGCGACGGGCCATCTCAAGCGAATATGTTTTCGGTCTCGATGGCAAGTAGTGTGCCTCACGATGAGGCACAGCCATATGTTGGCGGCCGGCCGCTTGAACACAAACGGCCGCGGACAAACGCTCGATATCTCTCGCCTTTGCCCCACCTCACTTTAGAGTGATGGATGGGCCTGGAGAGACAACCGAACTAAACGCTGCTACAAGGCCAACTGAAGGCCGCAGACGACACACAGCCCGCATCATTGCAGGCTTGCGCGCGAAATCCGCCTCTCCCTTGTTCGGTGCCTCCCCTCGTTACGACTACTTGGTTACTCGATCGGTCCTTCCTCCTCGCACACCGCCTGGCTGGCGCATACTCTGTGCCCCTGAGGGCGTTTTGTCTTTGCCTGATCTAAGTGCACGACTTCTTTCGCTGCGCCAGCCAGTTGTGCATCCCACCAGCCCTCTAGGCGCAGGTGGTTGATCGATAGCCTCGAAGATGGCCCCAATAGGCGCTCCAGGGTTCCCAAGAGAGCCCCAACTGAGCCCGAGGAGGGCCCCAAGAAGGTCCCAAAAGGGGCCCCAAAAGGCACCCGAGAGGCCTCCGAGCGGTCTCAGAGAGCCCAAGATGACCTCCAAGATGGCTCAGATAGCCTAAGCTGGCTCAAGATGGCTCCCAAGATGCTCCAAACGGCTCCAAGACCGTTCCAAGAGCGCCCAAAAACGCTCCAAGAGAGCCCCAAGAAGCGGTTTGCGTCGTCATCACCCTAGTCCTCGTCCTCCTCGTCCTCGTCCTCATCCGCGTCCTCCTCATCCTCGTCCCCGTCCTCGTCCTCGTCCTCCTCCTCCTCCTCTTCCTCCTCCTCCTCCTCCTCCTTTTCCCCTCGCCCCCACGCGGCACCCAGGGATGGCCAGAAGAGGCCTTCCAAGGCCGCCCCCATTGCTCGCTTGGTGTGCCTAGATGTGTCTCTTCGTCCCTTTTCCCGTCAGCTCTGAAAGGCAGGGTTTCTGAATGGGCCGGTGGGGATACTTTTTGGTCGCGGCCGCAAGCCGCAGGCGCAGGCGCGTCAAAGGTCGACCCTGGTGGGGATACGTTTGTTTGACTGCAAGCTCGCGAAGCAAGTCGAAAACAGTCCGAACACTAGCCGGGCCCTGGTGGGGATTTTTTTTGTCGCAACCGCAGGCGAAGGCGCCAGCGGCGAGTCGAGTCAGCTCGGGCTACGAGCGGAACTCCTGGTGGGGATATTTTTTGGTCGCGGCCGCAAGCGAGCGCGCAGGCGGCGAGAGAAGTTGTCCGGGCCGGCGGGCAAACCTCCTGGTGGGGATACTTTTTGGGTCGGCGGCTCCGAGGCGGCGGACAGGGAGCGGTAGGCGTCGTCTGGGCCAGCAGGCGAAGCTAATTAGCTCCAACAGGCATTGCACCTGCAGTAAAGATCTGCAAGAAAGCGAGTATGCACATGCAGTAAGCAAAATACTCGATTAAACGCTGCGGAAGAGGAAACACCTCCTGGTGGGGATACGCGAAGCGTGAAGAATTGTTCTTCTCTCAACCTAAGTCGGCGATTTGCTTGCACTCAAGCGCGTCAGGCTCTGACATTGAGTTAGCGCAGCGACAAAAAAGAGGATGAGGAGCAGGAGCAGGAGCAGGAGCAGGAGGAGGAGGAGGAGGAGGAGGAGGGGGACGCGGAAGGAGGAGAGAGGGGCATGTATGAGGAGGGAGGAGGATGCAGGGGGGAGGGGAGGAGCACGTAGGAGAGGGAGGAAGATGCATGGGGGAGGGAGGACCATGGAGGAAGAGCTCGGGGAAGGGGGGGAGGGATGGAGGCCGCTCCGAAGCCCCCCGCAGGCCCCTCCCGCCCGCGGCCCTCCCGCGCGGCGGCGGCGCGGCCCGTCACTTGGCCATGCGCGCGGCGCGGTCCTGGGCGGCCCGCGGCTGACGCCCCCTCCGCCGCGCTGCTCCGTGAGGAAGGGAGGAAGCAAGACAAAAACGAGGAGGAGGAGGAGGAGGAGGAGGAGACTGACGCTAGGCTTGCTCAGCGCCAATAAGGAGGAGGAGCAGGAGGAGGAGGAGGAGACTGACGCTACGCTTGCTCAGCGTCAATAAGGAGGAGGAGCAGGAGGAGGAGGAGCAGGAGGAGGAGGAGGAGGAGGAGGAGGAGGAGGAGGGGAATGAGCACTAGGGATTGTTGGGTTCAGTCAGACTTACGCAGAGTCGCATGCCTCGAACGAGCAGGAGCGGCGCTCTACCGGCGCCGCCCAAGAAGGCGGGATTGAGGAGGGAGGAGTGGGTGGGAGGAGGGCGAGGGGGGAGGAGGGACGATGAGGGTAAGGACAGGACGACAGGAGGTGGAGGAGGATGAGGAGGAAATTAACATGATGAGGAAGAAGAGGGCGAGAACGGAGGGCGGAACGGAACGAGTAGGCGGAAAGGAGGGAAGGAACGTGGGGCATAGAGGGAGGATAATGAATGGTTGAGTGGAGGGAGGCAGCTGGAAGAATGAGGAACAGGGGGAGTGCAGGGATAGAATGACAAGGGAGGGAGCTGAAAGGATGACGGGAGAGGGAAGGAGGGGAACTGTAGGACGGGAAACGGACCGGTGCGGTCCTCGATGATGCTCAGCTTCTCCCCATTGCCCTTCGGCAGGGAGATCCACGGCTTGCCGCCCGTGCCGATCACGAAAACGTTCTGCATGCGGGTCGCAAAAGCGTGCCCGTTGTTGTCCTGAACGCTGCGGGGTGCCGAGTAGCCTGTGCCGCTCACCCCTCACCCCTCCGTCTCTCCTCCTCCTCCTCTCCTCCTCCTCCTCCGCCTCTTCCCCCCTCCCCATCCTCCTGGTGTTCCTCTCCGCACTCTTGGTCGTCACCCCCTCCCTCCTACGCCTCCTCGCCCGCCTCCCTCTGCTCCTCAACATCCTTTCCTCCTCCTCCTCCTCCTCCTCCTCCTCCTCCTCCTCTTCCTCCCGCTCCTTCTACCTCCCCCGCGTTCTCCGTCCCTCTTCCACTTCCTCTGCCCGCCCCTCCCTGTTCCTCCGTGAAGCGGCTCCCCCGCGTCGCGCCCCCAGACGTGCGGGCAGGGTGGACTGGGCGTCTCGCCTGACGACCTCCTCGTCGCTCGCGGTCCCGAGTGTCGACGCATCCGCTGGCTACACGAGCGGAGGGCGCCTCGGCTTCGAGCTGCGGTTCTCGCCTCAACGCAGCGCACAGGTCTCCCCGAATCTCACGAGAGCGGAAAGAGTGGAGGTATGCAAGCTCCTTCTCGCAAGGCTACTATCGCTGGAAATTACCTCAAAATGCCCGCCCAAAGCCGAGATATGCGCAACCGCTAAACGGATGGAGGGCGGTCCCACTTCAAAACGGGGCTCCCACTGGACATTGCCCTGGGCTTCTGCTGTCGCCCTTGGACTTCTACTATGATGTAGGTGCGTTCCTGTTTCAAAAACCAGGTCGATCGCTTGAATGGCATGGCCATGGGGCTCTCGTCTTCCCAAATCTGAAGGGTTCCAGGTACTTAGGGTTGGATGGGAGGGCATTCGAACGCGGATGATGGTTCCGTCGCTGCGTGAGCAACAGCAGTCAACGGAGCTTCAAGATCCTTATGTACTCCTGCTCCATCTCCTCCTCCTCGTCCTCCTCCTCCTCCTCCTCCTCCTCCTCCTCCTCCTCCTCCTCCTCCCCCGCCGTGCGGCTGTCTTCTTCGAACTCGTCTTGAGGCTGTATCGGGGCGGGGAGGCCCGTGTCGCCGCGAACGGCATCGTGGGGACCCTCATCTTGCCTCCTGCCCGCTCCTCCCCCTTCCTCCTTCTCCCCTCCCCCTCCTCCCCCACCT